ATTTGTGCCTCCGCTAACATCGTCAAGATCATTTCGACATTATACGAATATAAACTCGAATCTATTCTAGAGTGTCTAAATGATTTTGATGAAATGTGTGAGGATTTTACAAATATTTTTTTTGAAATTTCAAAAGAATGATTTCTTAAAAAAATAATTTCAGTTTTTGAAATCAACAAACAATGTTTAAAGAATAAGTTAAGAAAAGAAATATCGTATTCATGACCGTCATATAATCATGATAATGTTATAAAAAACACAATTTGGACGATGCAATGGAAAGTAGAAATATGAATTACTTATTAAAAATTTAGGTTTGATATCCAAACTCGATTCGTTCAATAAACATGTATCTCCCACCAGATTATTTCTTCAAAACACATGATAACATGAGCGAATTGTAGTTAACCGAAAATGAAGTTTATATTTACATCCTCCAGATTCTCGGCCCATGTTATTTCCATATTTAAGAAGTGTGACCAATCTCTCCCTTCACATAACAGGTTAATCGTGTTTATAGGTTGTATTTACAAACATTGGTAATCTAATGAGAAATGAATTAAATGTGCAAATTACTTACAACTTTTTTAACAATTTTCTTAAACTCTACATATCGGTATGGAATTAGTTGGATTTTAGCTTCTTTTTTTCCCTTTTCTTACGCGTTCGACAACCTTAGGCATGGGGATTTGTTTAATAATAAGTTCTTACGTAATACAAGGCAATCTTCTATGGTTCGAAAATTATTTAAGTTACAGCAAATAATAGCTTTGGTGATAAAAACTCTCACATAAAGTAGAAGTGAATTCAAGTTCGTCACAACAAAATAAAAAGCTCATATCATACAGTATACTCTTTTATTTCAATGAGATTGCTAACAAATCCTAGCTATAACAAGGCATTCAGGAAACATATACTGCAGCTAAAAATAATACTTTATGAAGGCAAACAAAAAATATAAAAACTACAACAATGAAACAAAAGACATGCAACAGGACAAAGATAGTATAAGTAAGGAAAAATATGTCTAATGGCATTTAATTTAAATAATTTCTTTCACGTTGTTTATAGACAAATCGTACGTCTAGATTACCAAATTAATAGATTGGTATTTTTTATGACTTTATACACTTTTTATGCTACTGATGGTTGGCGTTTCGTTCCTAAAAGAATCACCAGCATAGTAAAATTGAGAATGGAAATGGGGAATGTGTCAAAGAGACAACAACCCGACCATAGAACAGACAGAAGGTCACCAACAGGTCTTTAATGCAGCGAGAAATTCCCGCACCCGGAGGCGTCTTTCAGCTGGCCCCTAAACAAATATATATACTAGTTCAGTGATAATGAACGCCATACTAAACTCCAAATTGTACACAAAAAACTAAAATTAAAAATAATACAAGACTAACAAAGGCTAGAGGCTCCTGACTTGGGACAGGCACAAAAATGCGGCGGGGTTAAACATGTTTATGAGATCTCAACCCTCCCCTATACCTCTAGCCAATGTAGAAAAGTAAACGCATAACAATACGCAGTAGTCAACACTTCTGTACTTAAATGAAATATCATTGTTACAATAATATTTTGGACATTTATTGTTAATACAATGTTATCATCATTCGAAGCACTAACGTTTGTTCATCCCAAATTATATTTATCCCTAACCAGGTTGCACAACGTTTTTAAAATTTAGGTTTAGGTTCAACGCTCTTCATCTCTTTTATTGATTTGGCCTCCCGAAAGTTTTGAATCGAGGGCAAATTATGAGTTTAAAAAAAAAACAAAGGGAAATATTGAAAGGAACAGTCGTAGTGTGTCGTTAGTGTACGTAACAAAATGATATTTTGCGAACATTTCTTATCACAGCCTAAACCCATATGAACCATTACAGTATATTTATATGAATATATATATTTCAAAACAAATTACAGGTTTTTTTACACATTAAAAAACCGGACCCGACCGATGCGTATATTTTTCAAAGTCGAAGATTTATTTCCCTTTTGGGTATAGTTCGTTATGTATTGAAGCAATAAAAAAAATTGTCAATACTGGAAAATGAGCTCAACATTATGTACAATATATAACATTTAGTGGAAGGCAAAATATATTAAAATGTATTGTAAAATATCAGCTGCAACTCAAAAATGAAGCTTTTTAATAGAGATACAAATATGTAGAAAAGAAGCGAAAGATACAAAAAGGACATTCAAACTCATATGTCGAAAATAAACTTACAACGCCATAGCAAATAAAGGAAAAGACCAAAAGACTAACAACAGTACACAAAACACAACATAGAAAACTACAGACTGAACAATACGAACCTTATCAAAATCCATGTTTGATCTCAGGTGCTCCGGAATGGTAAGCAGTGTTGATCATGTAAGTACAAACCCGCTGATAAGTCTAATTCTGTAGGATAGATTCGGGGAAAAGAGGACGGGATTGTCATTAGAATATAATAAACCATTTGCCTAGCTTGAATAAGAAAAAAATAGCAAAACTACCGAACGCAAAGGAAAATTCAAAAAGGAAAGTCCTTTTTTTCAAATGACAAAATCAAAAGCTCAAACATGTCAAACGAATGGAAAACAACTGGCATATGTTTTGTTTGTCAAAAAGAAAAAAAGATGAATGCTAATATGTTAAACTTTCTTTGTTCTTCTTCATAGATTCATGCTTAAACATACGGTTTTGTACTCTTTTTATCGGACAGAAAGCAAATATAAAGGCGAAGCGCAATTATTTTTGTTGGAATTATTTTTAACTTTATCTCCAAATATTAGAAATGAAAATAATAATAATAATTAAAAACCAATTGTTCAGAGAAAAATTGAAGGTCTCTCCACCATTAACTTTCTAAATCATTTATGAGAGACCACTTCCGGCTGTTACTGGCGTCAAATCATAGGATTCTTCATATTGATTCCAAAAATATATGGTTTCTATATACCTTTGCCTGAAAGAAGGGAGATCATTTGCTACTTCCGGTTAGAAAATGTCACTTATGGGGTCATATGATAGCGCTATTCACACAGATTCCAAAAATATATGGTTTCTATATAATTTTGCCTGATATAAGAGGAATGATTTGCTCCGTCCGGTTTACGGCAGGTCACTTCTTGTCTCAAATGATAGGTGTATGTATGCTGATTAAAACCAAGGTCATTAAGATAGGTTCTCAAAGCAAAATACCTTAGATCTCTACTTTGTATTGTTTAAGAGTTATATTACCATAGTCCTTTATTAAATGGCAAAATAAAAAGCTCAAACACATCAATCGAATGGAAAACAACTGTCATATTCCTGACTTGGTACAGGCAACAGAAACTTATATGTAAGACAATCAAAGATTAATTAACATGGTCTTACTAGTACAGTTCAACAATTAATTCGCTCTTTACCAATGAAAATGTATAGATACGACATAATATGTAAAACAAAGAAGTTTCTGTAGACTGTGCCAAGTCGGGAATGTGACAGTTGTTGATGAAGTCTTTGTTGTTTACCTCTACCTAATTTGGTCTCTGACAGATAGTTGTCCGATCGGCAATCATGCCACATCTCCTTATTTTATATAAGTTTGTATCATTTTATAGAACTATTTTGATAATATATGAAGCAAGAGTCTATCACGCATACCCCAAAGTGGTTTACAAAGATATGCTTATGATAGAAAAAGGTAATATTATGTCATCATGGTAACTTCAAAAGTATTATTAATTCTACCATATCATATTGTGGTCGTAAATCATCATTAGAAAATGAAGTAAGTTTACCTAATAAAACAATTAACTGACGGATATATATGTCAATAAACGAGAGGTTGAAGATAGCAAAGAAACATATAAACTCATTAGTCAAAGATAAATTGACAACGTCATGGCAAAAAAAAACCGACAAACGACGAGAAGACAAATAAAAGTCTACAAAACACAACATAGAAAACTTGAGAGAGAGCAACACAAACTCGAACTTTCTAATGCCAAGATATTGAAACTCAAACGGTAAACAACAGATATCTTTACGACAGTCATTTCAAAGTACTAAACTTTTTTTTTTCACTTAAAACATCTGTTATTTCAGTAAACGATTAAGATTATGTGGAACAGCAGTCGCATTAGAATTTTTTATAGCTAAATCCAGGTGAATACTTGGAACTCAAATCTTTTTTCGTTTCTCTTCATAAGTACTCATTTGTTTTTTGTTCTTTTTGCACAAAACAACGCGCGAAGCGCAATTGTTTTGTTTTTAAGGTAAACTATAGTTTATTTCCATATATTGGTAATGACAAAACTGAATGCACTGTATTATTTTTCCCTGGGTATTGGAAACGAAAAGAAAATCACACTTATAAGATTTGAAAAAGGACAAACATCAGTTACTTTTCGTGCATTTAAATATTTGTCTTATAAATATAAGATTAACATTCTGAAAAGTGATACATTTTCTCTATACATACCATCGCATATATACATTTGTTGGGAGAAGAGAGGTGTAATTCTGTAATAGACTATAGTTAAACTTTAATTGTCTATTATGTATGTTTTCGAAAGAAAGAAAAAAACACTCATCATGTAACGATAATTAATAAGTAATATGAGGAAAATAAATACGCTCTATAACATATGTGTAAATCTACATCTTTCATTTCGATAATCATCTTTAAATACTTTTACCAGAATACATTACATTGATCTGCAATACAGACTAAATTATTGTGTTACTCCGAAGAGGTGGTTCATGGTTTAGGAGTAAGATTATACTTGTCACATACATGAGCCCATCCACCGCATTTCACATGCTGTAGTGCCTTCAAAAGTAAAAAAAAATCCGCGGACTTTGACTTTTTGTTTTCCACGTGTTTAAAACACACGCAGTCTGCATGTACATCTTCTCTTGGTTATTATAAATTGCTTCCTGTATATCTTCGACTGTTAGTCCTAATTCTACTCCAAGATGTATAATACAATCTCCAATATGTTTCGGTAGTTCTTCATCCGCAACAGGGCTTTGCAGCCGACTTTCAAAATCTAAACAAAATAATTAGATGAATGATTTTGAACAACTCTGTTTTAAATTTCCGTTTTATAAAGTTTTTATCAATTTCATTATAGTCCATAGATCTGTGATATTCGATAATTTTGATGTACTAAATGAATACAGATATTTCATCGCTCGTAAAAATACCGACAATCCTGTTTAAAGGATGGTAAATCAGTCATTGAGATAACAACAGATGAATTACTTTTATTTTTCAATGATTCGAATGACTGTCTATAGACATAACACTTCATTTTATTGCTATACATGTTGATACGGCAACCTATTGAACAAATCGCTCACAGAAAAAAAAAATGAATAAAAGCTTATATATGCAGTCAATTTGATTAAAAGCAAAATAAAGAACTATCAAGTTAAGCCGACATATAATAATGCTCCTTTCTGTTTTTGACTATCTTTTATTATTCCTCTTTTTCGAAGAGGGGTATATAATAATGCCCTTGTCCGTCCTTCTTTTCGTCTATCCGTCACATTTTTTTACAAATGTATTAAAATTTTAAAACAATGTCATTGACTATAAAATACGAGTGAAGTTCGATTTGAACATCGGTAAATTAAAGTACTGTCGCCTTAATTTTACATTTACCGTTCAAGAGTTATGCCCCTAACTTATCTTAAAAAATTGAATTGTTTTGTTGCCTGACGATAATAAAAGTAACTTTAACTTTTTTTTTTTTACCACAATATTTTTTTCCAAAAATCATGATTTATGAAATACACGTCAAGTTCCATTTTGACGACTTTGGCATTTACCGTTCAAGATATATACCTTTTCGTTATCAACTAAAACAAGTGGAAAAGGAGAGCTTAACGTTTTGATGAAAGAAACCTACCAAAGCCAAAAGTGAAATTTGAAAACATACAGTGCAAAAACGCAGGCAATAGCCGACCAGATTTAAGTTCATGCAAACTTTCAATGAACATAATAAAAAGGTCGTTAGTTTTCAACATAATCATCAACTTCGTCCAGTGAAACAGAAAACAATATATTCTATGGAATTCTAATATCGAAATAATGTTTAACTGACATACATATATTGACGAAAAAGCAGAAAAACAACAAAAACAAGCATCGGTGAATCAAATTGTGATCGGACTGACAGAGAACACGGTAGCTGTTCAAAGTCCTATCACAATACATATCCCTGGAAGAAATAAGGAAAGCTTAACAGTTCATTAAAGGTACACAACAGAGCCAGCGCCTTCGTGACTTTTGTAGTAGTATTGAAAATAAGAGAAAGTGTATGCATAACCTTCACGATGAATATATATTTGAACGAATGGACGTAACTTAAGCATTTGTATCATTTCTCATCGTAGATTTTATGTCATTTGGTATAGTTTTTCCACGAAATTGATCTTTGAGAAAATACATTAAAATATACATTGTGCAAAAACCTTATTTGTTGTTTAGCATGCAAAAGAAAAATAAACTTGCAAACTAAGGTCCCGCTGATGATTACCCTAGAAACAATCACTGTGTTAACATCCACTTCCTTTGATCTACAATAGATAGTTGTCTCACAGCAATTATACCATATATCCTTTGTTTTTATAATGTTTGCACTGATATATTTACCAAACATTAATAGTCAACTAAAATGATAGAAAACATACCAATCAGACTAAGGTCTTCCCTGAATATCTACAAAACATATTGATGATATATAATGCAATTCATCTGAGTTATAAAACTGGGAAAACACGTATAAAAAGTAACTTTTGTTTCATTCAAGGAGTGTTTTTCATATTTCCTGAATTCTCATATAAGAGTTGTTTTACTGTGATAAAAAAAAATGGATTTGTTAACTAAAGATGAAAATTCATTCACAGTGCAGACCCGGCCTATCCATAGCTCGACATATTCTATTGCTGTAGACTGTATGTTGCTCTCTAGATGTCTTGTGGTTTTATTGTCTATGGGTTGTTCGGTCATCGATGTACATGTATACCCACAATTCTTTTTATTGATATGAACAGAGTATATAACCATCTTTAATATACAAAAACCAGTTTAAAATACCTACAGAGCGCTGACTTTTGAATAGCAAGGCCAGCAAGGACAGGGTCTTCATTAGGTGACAATTCCATTTTCAGATTATAATCGATGTAAATGTTGTAAACACTGCAACCGTAACCCACAAACCTCCAAAATTGGTAAAGAATGAAATTCAACTAATGACAGTATTATCATAATTTTCTTTAGGAGTTCATATGATTCCCTCGAGTTTTATTTGTTTTCTTGATTTGTAACGTCTTAATCCATTTACGAGATTTTAACATCGGTAAGCAACTGTTGCCTTAACATGCTTAATGTATGTTATGAATGATGTTGTGTACAAATGTATTTGGCAATGAAGATTTATCTGGCTGTATATAAGATATTAATGAAATTTTGAGCCTTATGTACACAATGCATATGATATGCTTGTGGTACAATAATGGAGACACTATTAACCAGCTTGTCACTCGATAGTGTTAGTTGTGTTTTTTTTTCACATTTTAAAAATTAGTGTGTCAAAAGAGAGGAGAAAGATACCAAGGGGTCATAAAAACTCACAAATTGAGACAAACTGACAACGTCACTCACGGCGAAAGAGGACGAAATGACAAAAAAGTCAACAAAACACTTCACAGAACAGGTAAGACTGAGCTACATGTAAGGACACTATGAATGAGAAGGTATAATAAGGCCACTTTTGGCCACTTAAATTTGAAAAAAAGTATTATAAATCTGTCAAATAGTATCATTTAGATATACATATATCTGACAGAAATGTGTATTGGTAGCTTTGAATTTTATTTGACATATTTGCATGACAGCTTCAAACTTCATGAAGTAAGATAAAAAAAAAAGCTGTAAAAACTGTCGAAATAGATTCATTTTGGATCGTGTAGTTCTAGAGGAAAGCAAAGTATTCATTTCTCAATTGCATTTGATAGTCCTGTATATGACTGACACGGGAAAGTATTGCCCCTCAAAAAACCAACAACATGTAAATATCATAAAAGCTAACACAAGTTCTGATTGTTTATAATCTGTTAGAGTATATAAACATGAAGGCATGGGTGGTTGGCCATGACTAGAAGATACAAAAGGATATATTTTTTTCTTGTTTTCTGCTTTGAATCACTCATTCTATTACAGTGAAATTGATTCATTCTATTAGTCTTCGATAATGAATTGAGAAATTATCCGAAAATAAAGGTTCCATCTCCCGTATGCAAAGTTGACCTTAGATGGATTCTTTTAACACATTCTTGTCATAACATTCACAAGAGTGGTGACTTTCTTATCAAATACAATACAATACCTGGCATAGCAAATGTTTGTTCATGTCAACCTTTTTCAGAGCATCTCGAATGTGTTTCAGAGATGGGCTTTCCAATTTCATGTTCATCTTCCACCCAACCAATGCCATGAACATCCTACCATATACATCGTTGGCTTTATACTTGTGCTTTATGTTCCAATATTCATTTTGTTCCAATCCTAAGTGAATAATGAACTTATCAAATATATCATCTTGAAACTTGCAAGCTAATCTAACAAGATGTTTGTTGCTTGGAACTGTTTCCAGCTGTGATGGGGTAAGACCTGGAAGATTTATTGAAATGGTATTCAAACAACCGATTGAAATTATGATATCGCCAGCAGCATTTACTTTAAAAAAAATAGTCGTATTATATACTTTTGGTGAGGTTGATACAATAATTTCTCTTATTCTTAGCCGATTTAGCCTTTTCCTGGCTAGTTGAATATTTGTATTTGATCAGCGTGTGATTCATTTGATCTCGGTTCCTCATTGGTTAAAAATCAATTATTTCCTCTGAATTTCCTATTGTGACGTCACGAAAAAGGCGACCATGCCTGATGACGTTACGTAGAAAGAACATATCCTTTCGCAGATCATTGGAAAAGAAGGATGAAGTTTGGCTGCATGTCGTCTTTAAATCATTAGAGAAACTAATTCTAACACCTAATCTCGTGTAATACGACATTTCTCTACTCTCGACAGTTAAATTTTAAATATGACGTTGCCTAGGAAAATAACTATTTAGGTACGTTAGATGTTCTAAATCTTGTATTTACCTTACATGTGTTTTCCGGTGAATGTAATGCTTTACAAAAGAAGATTCCCTATACTTTTAGCCAATGAGAAAACAGATATTTTATTGTCATATAATAATGTCCACTATTACCAACTAATGCAACTGATCATGGTATTTAGTTATATTTTCCCCTATATATATTATTCACATAAATAAACGATGTCGTTACTTACCGCTACACTTTTCATCACATGTTTTTTGCTTTTGTAAAATAAAGACAGAAAAGAATAGATAAAGACGGAAAAAACTTAGGATCGAATATTTCTAGAAAGGTTTTATTCTGTTTGATATAGATGCATTGAAATATATCATGAGTTATTTAAGTCGTAGCTCATGTAACGTCCTAAATTACCGAAGCAATATGCTAACGTAGGAACCAGCAATCAAAAGGCAAAGGAAAGCTTTGACCAAATGCGACTAGGACTAACAACTAATGGCACAAAATAAACCTTTCCGTATATATATATATATATACCTTAAAACACAAAGTTTCATCATGTTTGTTTCTTCAAATCTGAACAGACTAAAACAGATAAGAAGATACTTTTGGGATCAGAATATAAAAGGACAGACAATTCAACAGGCGAGCACAAAGCACTGCATAAAGCACTAAACCAATGTCTTTTCAATGGACATCGATATCAAAATATCACAACGTAATGTTCATATCAAAATGTAATATAAAAATGGCAGCTGTGTTTTTTTTTTTTTTTTAATTTTGATACCAATTTCTGTCCGTGATTGCTTCATTTTATGGAGTGTACATTTCATCATCGTTTTATATGCGCGTGTTTTAAGGACATCATGTTGAAATGAACCTGATATTTACATAACTAAAAACCTACTTGTATGTAATTATATCATAATGGATATGGTGTACAAATTTTTACACCAAATTGAGGTAAATTATATGGCCTTCCTACTACCTTTTCGATTCCTAACATCACTGAAGAGACATTCATTGTCGAAATCCGGATATGGTGTACAAATTTTTGCACCTCATGTTTGCGGTATACCATCTTTTACGCAAAATTATTGTTTTCTCCTTGGTAATAAATTAATAATAAGATCTATTTTGTTACATCTTGTGATACGTTTATTTGGCAATCGCCAATGGCAGTCAGCAGGGTTTAAGAACATCAGTTGTTCGACCTGACTGTATTAGCAAAGCAGCCTACTCCACCTCTCGGTTGCTACAAACAATGTGGTCGAAGGAATTGCCTATGTTGTAAATCTGCCAATACAAGCAGTTCTTTCATTAGCTCCGTTACTAAACAAAATTATATCATCAACTCAAATTTCAACTGTAAAACGTAGAACTTAATTTATATATTAACATGTAACACTTGTGGCATTCAGTATGTGGGAGAAACAATGGACAAATTCAATATTCGGCTCAATAGCCATCGTTTATGGTACAAAACCAACAAAAACTGTCCTCTCACAAGACATCTTCGCTCAAAGAAACTTCCTTTTGATAATATTACTTTCGAAATCATAGAAGTCAACACCGAGTGGGACACCACGGCGAGAAGGAGAAGAGAAAACCTTTGGATCCACCAGCTCCAAATTTTAGTACCTGATTGTCTTAACGAAAAAGACGAGGAAAGATAAAGAATAAATCAGTACACAGCATCGTGTAATATTGGCCAATGGACTTTGCAAACTTCAACCACCAATTTTGTAAATAATCTTACACTTCATCCAAAATTGTGTATTATTCACAAGGCAGCTAAATTCATGTCCAACATGTACATGGAGTTGCAAAAGTTTCTTATCATCTACATGTACATCCGATTTCACCTGGATAGGTGCACGCTTGATAAAGCTAGTTTTTCTAGCGAAATATTGCGTTATTTTTATCGTTTTGTAAATATTTTAAACATTCTAATATTTACATACTAAATAGTGCGTTAAAATTACATTTTTAGGCAATCTATATATATATACATATATATAAATATATTATTCGTCTAAACATCAGCCCAACAATGTTAGATCTGTAAATTTGCTTTCGCAAATTTTTTTGTTCTTCCCTCGCCGGGATTCGAACTCATGCTACTGAGATATCGTGGCACCAAATCGCCCTTCACTATGCCCGACGCGCTAGACCACTCGACCACCTAGGCTGTACAAAAATAAGCTTTCGGTGGCTATGTGTTACCTCTCCTCGTCAGTTTTAATCTAGCGTCGTAACACAGTAAATGATATATAAGGTATGAAGATGGAGTTGTAACAGATCAGCTGAATTATCTATTGTAAAGGATCCTAAAAATTAATGTAAGGTGCAGTCACAGAAATAATTATATTATAAGTACGTCTGAACCAGTGACGACTCTAAAACAGATTTTATCCATCGGATCACCAGCAGTGATGGTGATACAAGGCTGAAAATACATTCTGTATATATAATTCGTCTAAACATCAGCCCAACACTGTTAGATCTGTAAATTATATATATTCTCTAAGGTTTTAAAAACTTTCTTATCAAGACCCTGTACGTTTCTATTGAGAAGACATGTCTTAGCTTTTACAAATGATTGGAATGTCATCAATTTAACTTGGATTTGATAAATTGTGTTATTTATTTCAACGACCAGCAACGGAATTTATTGAACACTTTTTCGACGTAAACATTGGGTAAATTTTATATTGTTCAGACGAGAGGTTCAAAAGATTGGTCAATTTGCTCTGACGTGTGCCGGGCAATACGCCTTATGAAAAAAATGCATCGGAGCCACAGTTAACAAAATGAACATGGAATGCGGTTCACGACAACCGTCGACGAGTCCCCTGAGGCGAAATAAACGAAAATACGTAAATAGACCAAACACAGACCTCCCTCTTTCCCAATCAAGTCTTTGTAGATCCTTAAATTACTAAGTCCATGCATTCAAATCCAGTTTAAAGACCTTTTGCAAAAGTTCAGCGAGATTTTTAGCCCAACATTTACGGGTGCGATATATCCCTTTAAAGCATCTGTTAATATGAGTCCTGACCAGCCTCCAAAACGAAACGGACGAATGCAAGAATATATACAAAGGTAAACTCCAAAACAAATTTCATCAATTTTAATGTAAGGGGTTTTCTCGTTATTCTGACGACATAGGCATGTCAGTCGAATACATTAAGCCGTGCTTTCTTGTAAACAATACGACAATAACATTATATCGAATATAATTGAAAAGAATGACAGTTTTTTTTTATTAACGATTGAATTTATGATTCAAATATTGTTAGTGTTATCTTATTTAACTATCAGAGTAATGATATGATATGATATGTTGATAATTTAACATTTTCATAGTACTTTTTAAAAGCAAATATCGAAATTGCCTCTTAACAAAGAAGGCGGCTAACTAACAAATTAACGATATTGCCAGCGCTGGCAAAATAAAAATTGCTATAGAAAATGCCTTTTGACGGATTTTATTAAGGGATTTTTATCAGAGCTGGGAAAAAAAGCTTATTGTTTTATTTTTGCCTGCGCTGTATTTTTAATGGTACTGAAAAAATATTAAAACCCCCTCTTCAATATAAGAAATTCAAGATAATGCAAGAGTAAGCAAAATAGCCAGTTTACTCATGAACAATTACCAATTTCTTACATGAACCTTATTTGCACACAACACGATTCCCTAATTTAAAATCACGGATTTAGCGAAATTTCGAAATACAGTAGACCTGACCTCCCAACAGTTAGCATGGAGCCCCACCTATTTTTATTTGCGAAACTATCGATAGTAAGTCAAGCAGTGAACAAGGTGACAAACGCTTTCTCCGTATTCGCTCCGATATGAAATTGCCAGTGTGGTTTGAACATTTTATAGTCTATTTGATAGATCGCATTCGAGGTAGATATGGACTTTAAAAGAGAAAAGAAAAGTCAGAATTGTTTTGTTTTCTTATTGATAACTATAGATTATGCATATTGATCATGTTACTCACATTTATTTCATTTCATATTCTTAAGATAACAGAGATTACTAGTTAATGACGGAGAGCATTTTTTTTTGATATATAGACTTTAAATGAGAAAAGAAGTTGCACCGGTATATTGTATTGCTTATTACATGGATTGATTTGTATTACCTCCCTTACTCCGTGGTTCATTTTCATGTATGATTATTGATTGGGTATTTCACTTTATTTTTCCTGCCTCAAGATCATTAATAAATGTGTCTTCATAACGAACACTTGTGTTTCAATTCTTTCTGTTATTGTAGCAGTATTTGCTTGCAACGTCAGACATCGTTTGTTTCCACAAGCATTGCAAGAG